ATTATGTGTTGTAAATCCTAACCCCTATAGCTGTGGCTAAGGAACCATGATGGTACAGTAGTTAAGTGCTCAGCTGCTAACCAAAGGGTCAGTGGTTCAAACTCACCAGCTGCGCTGCGGAACAAAGATGTGGCAGCCTGCTCCCACATAGATTACAGCCTTGGAAATCCTATGGAGCAGTTCTACTTTGTCCCATAGGGTCTCTATGAGTTGGAATCCACTGGACTGCAACTGGGTTTTAGAGCTGTAGTTAGAACCCCACTTGGGAGTGGGTTTTGTTATGTTAATAAGGTAGTATTAGTGTAAGGTGTGTCTTGAGTCAATCTCTTTTGAGATATAAAAGCAGATTAAGCCAGAAAGCACAGACAGGGGAAGATAGATTCCTTGCCACATGAGATCTCCAAGGAACCAAGAAACAGAAGCTGAAAAGAGAAAAGGACCTTCTCCCAGAGCCAACAGAGAGAAAAAGCCTTCCTCTAGAACTGGTGCCCTGCATCCAGACTTCTAGCCTCCTAGCCTCCTAAACTGTGAGAGAATAAACTTGTTTGTTAAAGCCACCCACTTGTGGTATTTCTGTTATAGCAGCACTAGATAACTAAGACAGTGGCCACACTGACCAACTCAGCTCCAGGCTCCCTGATGGCAGTCCTGAAACATCCATTTGTCCAAATGGAACCTCTGAGGCTACCTCTAGTGGGACTATCTGCACCCCAGATCTGCACCCTCCTCTGGGTGATAAGAAGCCAGCTGAGCATTTCCTTGATCCATGGTGTTTCATGGGTCAGACATATCTCGGATTTATTAAAAAAAAAAAAGGTTACAAGTGCCAAGACCACCCCAAGATGCAGATATATAGATGAGTCCCATAGACCCAGGTTCAAATCCCAACTCTGACACTGTGTGACCTGGGGGAGCCACACCCCTCACTAAGCCAGAGTTCTGAGACCCTTCCCTCTGAAAGGCAAACACACAACAGGGCCATTTAAGTTGAACTCCCTGAAAGCAAACACAAAAGTAGGCTCTCCTTATACAGGAGAGGACAACAGCATGCATCAGATTGTCGCAAGGCTCTATGACCCCAGAGAGGCCACCAGGTCACTCTGACTCCTCTATCACCATGCAGGAGGGTTGGTCCATGACCCCATCCCTATCTGCATGCAAAGGCAACAGTAACAACAACAGCCAGTGTCTTGCAGGGGCCTGCCCACTGCTATATGAAGGCCTGGCCAACAGGCTGCCTTCAATCCTCTCAGGCCAGGACTTTCCAGAGCCAACGCTCAACTCACAAACAGGCCCCTCTTCAGTGACTCCGGGCTCCTTTCTGGCCACCAAAGCTCAGAAACACCAGGTCGTCCCAGCCCAGTGGTGATCCCTGCCCTCC